GATTAGGTAGGAACAACTGTCAACCTGGGAACTCATCTCTACGTACATTAGTATATATATATATATCAATGACGTACATAAAAGAAGTCAAAGTTCCTGTTGAATTTAAAATTTAAAGAAAGTCAATGTAATACTTTGTTTGTGTGACCAGAATTATAGCTGTAACTGTAATATTCGTCTGGTTCTAGAACACGTGAGATAACCTTCAGGATGTGTCCAGGTTTATTTACTTTATTCTCCTTGTAAGACATTCGGGCTGCATTTAATGCCTTCTTCTACGCAATGAAAAGTCTCGGAGCGCTCGAGAATACAATTATATCATGTTAAAGTTTAAAGTCGGAGAGCGGTACATTTGTCTATTAAGACCTCCGACCAGGTAGAAGAAAGCATTAAAGATGTAGCGTCCTGAGACTCCCTAGTCGGTATAAGAAGTCAGTACGTGTTGCTAGGTACATGTATTCCGAAGACGACAGAGTAGATGTACCTGAGCACGGCCCGAAGGCCAGCCCATATGTACAAGGGCCAGATAAGTCTTAAGGTGACCGCCAAACGTCAGGTGGTCACATAATCACAGCATTATAAAAGGGACTAAAAGCATGTATTATAAATGTAATGCTTTGTTTATGTGATCACTTGGCGCTTGACATTCACATTAAGTTTTGTCTGACCCTTGTACTCGTGGCCTGGCCTTCGGGCGACGCTCAGGTCCAGTTGCTTTATCTTCTTTGGAATATATATATACGGCTTTCTTAATGCCTTCGTTCACACTATAAGAAGTCTCGAGACGCTACAAAAGGGACTAAAAATAGAATAGTATGCATGCTACCAAAGTTTGTAACATGAGTACAAAAGTAAGCCGGAACCGAAAGTCAACGCTGGACATCAGGTAGCCATGTTGACAAATAATCACAGGTAAATTCAACTACGAGGCATTTAAGGTACGTCAGTAAATAGAAGTAAATTAAGTTTAATAAATAACTTCGATAGGGATACATTGACCTTCCAAATAAAGCGTACTAATCTAAAATGACGGAATTCGCATGATTGCAGGTTGTTAAAAATCAATTAAGGTGGTTTTCACTTTACTCTTTAACATTATCCTTGCACTTCTACTTATCATGCAGTAACAGTAGAATTTAAGGTAACCCTAAGTGAGGAGTTTTCAAATTTGGCAATTTGGTTTCTTAGCCTGCGATTTGCACATTTTCGTGTGTGAAATGCAATGAGGACTGACTCTTCCTCGCCAAGTGCAGTTTTTCAGGCTGAAACTCTGAACGGTGTAGATGTTCCCATTGCGCAAACGAAGGAGGGGATTCGTTCCGAAGTTCTCAAGCTGTTATCGAGAAACCTCAGCCCACATCTCAATGATTTAGTCGACTCACTAAAATCGGCTGTGGCCTTGTGCAACAAACTTACTAATGATGTTGAAGAAATGCAAGGATCTGTTGCAACGTGCACCGCATCCGTTAGAGAAACAAAGGATAAGGTTCCTGACCAGGTCCTGCTTCAATATATTTCGCAGATTATTGTCTATCTTAGAGGTTTTGAGAATAACTTAGTTAACTTTTAGATTGTACCGATGGCGACAACATCAGCATCCAAGGCACTCTTGGAGTCGTCTAAGGAGCAGAGGCTGCCGCCGCATCTAGTCAATAGGCTATTATTGAGAAAATCTCTCACAAACAAAAATGACAGCGCCAACTTGAATGGAGTACGTTCATCATTTGCAAAGGCTCCTCGGGATTTCTTTGCGATTCAAGCCCCTCCTCTTCCGAACTACACTCCTCCGGACATCACTCTAAACATCGGTGGGAGCATTGTCATTGTTCCTATGCAACCACCTCTCATTCTCTCCGCCTCGCCTGCGGTGGGAGGTGGGTTTAATTATCACTCAAAATTCCAGATTTAAAATCCTTTAGGTATCTCCATCGAAGGTCGATTAGACCAGTCTTCCCTCACGCTGCAATTCCAGCCAGCCAATGTTTATTACCTCTATTCCTACACTCCCACTGATGGTGATGCCATTAAAGTCCAGCTAGGGATCGCTTGGACCAAGGTATTATTTCGTTACGATTTTATCTTGAGTATTCTTTGAATGCGCTTATTCCTCTTACTCATCAATTAAGATCGCTGTGATTACCGCGCCTAACTTGCCTCTTTCCTTCGTGGCGGTTAACTTGCCTCCGAACAGCGTGCATTTCTTTGTGATGCATGGGGTAGATGCGCTAGGCAGAACAGGGGAATGGTCGAACATTGTTAAAGCCATTGTCAACTAGGTGTGTCTTTTGTATATTGTTGCCGTGTACATAGGTTCGTTGATTTCTTTGTCAATAGATTGCTGCGCCATGCTTGCTTTATCTCGGCCTGTCAGATTTATTTCTTGAGTTTATTGCTGTGCTTCCTTTGACAGTAGAGAAGCTTTTTATTTGTTTAAAACACATGAATTCCTATGTTTTGAAATGTGATACCATGGTCTTGAGGATCATTTGTCACATTACTAATTCTATATGAATATCACCAATGTAACTAGGATTGGAGTAGCCAATTCAGCTGCCGTCCATTTTATCCAAAAATGCAGTTACCACCCATTTGAAAGCAACTCACGCTTATTGATGTCTTCAGATGCGGTACGGCTTCGTTTAATCACAGTGTTCTAGGCCTACTGTAACTTCTGCCACTTAATCGCGACTCTGATGATTACCTTATGCAGAATGTCAAGTCAAGCAGATGCGGCAAACTGATGCCACGGTTTCTGTACACCTTTCCTTTACTTAAGACCCCATTTAACTTAACAGATACTTGATACCAGCAAAAGTGTTACTTGTGGTGGTTCATATACGTAGTAGTGGTAGGGGGCTATTTGGTAAGGAGGATGATCGGGTAACACTATCGAGTTCTATTCGCCACCAATATTGTTAGACAAATGAAAAAAAAATGGTCATTTAGGTGGCATCATGCTGACTCCCTACATCGACTGCTTTTTTGGGTCAGAGACAAAAGTCCTGCCTGGGTAGCCTGAGTCGGCTGAGATAGTCACGTGTTCATCTAATGCGGTGAACTTGTAAGGCTCGGCGAAACTGGAGTTCAGGCATATAAAGTAGTATCCAAGGCAGACAAAGCATACACTGCATCTGTAGTTGAGCCATTGAAATGCATAGGTGTGGTAGTCACATCGCGGATTCTCGTGCTAAGTGGTAGACGTTTAATGAATTAATATGATAGCATAGCATGGTTTATAAGAGTGTATAAACATGCATTTGTGTTAGGTGTCGTGTGGCATAGATTCACATAAATTTCCTTGGTCGATTCTTTTAGTGGGTCAGGAAACTTCACCAATAAAAATGTGCAAATAAAATCCCAAACGGTGGGGCTTACCTTTTGAGACGTCGCATC